GGGGCTAAAGGAGATGATGTAAGTAGGGAGCCCATGATCATGATGCTTTCAAAAACGAGGATGGGTATTTTAAGGTTAATAAGGGTCAGTCTAGATTATCAAGACATGCATGATGCGTGAATGGAACCTGGTGAAAGTTAGGATTTGAGCAGCAGAGTTTTGGTTAAATATGCCAATATTACAAACAATCTAGTTCAGCCTTGGCTATTGCCAGGGTGAGAGATTAAGTATAGTGTTGAGGGAATAGTGTTTGCGATTTTAGATGAGAACCTTTTGGCACTGTGGCAAGGGCAGAAATCTGTTTGGAATGATTCAAACGTGGGAGTTCTGGAAAAGGTGGGAGGCAGCAGCACATTCAAGAGCTTTGGAGAGGAAGGGATGTTTGAAATGAAGTGACAGTTTGTAAGGATATTGTTTATTTTGAAGAGAGAGTGATAGCGGCAACTTCACGATTGGTTGCTGAGAAATACACAACCACATCCTTTGTGTGTGTGAGAAAGGATTTGTTATTTCCCACAACAACACTATTGAGTATTTGGAAAATATGCATGTCTGCAGTTTTTTATTCAGATATTTTGTTGCAACCTGCCAAACATCTTGTACTGCTGCTGTCTATTCCTTTATTTAGGGCATAAAGCACTAGACGACTTCTGACTTTTTTTTCATGCATTCTGCAACACTATTTTGCTGATTTGTGCTGTGGCTGAGAAATCGTAAGACTTCTGAACTGATTTTTGACCCAGTTTATGGCAGAGTAATTTATTAACGAAAATTCAATCAATTGTTTAAAATAAACAGTCTGTAACTTTACCTTTCACCAAGAAATGTGTTTCAAACAGTTTCACACTGTATCTTGTTGCATTTTCCTGCATTAGGCTTGAGTCTTTTCTGGAATGTATGAAGCCATCAATATCTGAATTGTGTACTACGTATGGATTTGCTACATATTAAGTCTGAGGACTCTTGACTAAAGGAATATGATTAAAATATAAGCAAGGATTCTTCTTTGGTTCAGTTGCTGAAACGGAGCTGAATGAATCTGATGCATGGTCGGGTCTTAAGCAGGTGTGAGAATAGCAATGTAAAATAAACTCGCTTTTGGATTGCAGAATGGAAATCAGCCAAAATTTGCCCTTCTAGCAATATCAGACATGAATGTGGTGCCATGTATAATTTAATTATTTTAAATTCACTCTTGGGATGTGGGCATCACTGGCTGGGCCAGTATTTATTGCCCATCCCTAGTTGTTCCTTGAGAAGGTGTTGATGAGCTGCCTTCTTGAACCACTGCAGTCCATGTGCTATAGGTTGACCCACAGTGCTCTTAAGAGTTCTACCCTTCGTATCTTAATAAGGAGGACTTTACTGGGTCATCAGGATTGTTTCAGCAAAAAAAATGTAGAACATAGAGTATAGCACAAGAACAGTCCTCGGTCCACTACATCTGCACTGACCATGATGCAATTCTAAACCAATCCCATCTGCCTGCATGTGGTCTCTACCCCTCTATTCCCTGCTTGTTCATAGCAACGTTTAAGAGGTATTTAGAAAGACTATCATATCTGCTTCTACCATCTCCCTGGCAGTGCATTCCAAGCATCTATCACCCTCTGCATTTAAAAAAACTTGCCTCGCACATATTTTTAAGCATTCACCCTCTCACTGTGCCCCCTAGTATCTGACATTTCCACCCTGAGAAGGAGAGTCCTGACTATCTACCTATCCATTGCCTCTCCTAATTTTATGTACTAGTATCAGGCTGCCCTCAACCTCCACTATAGCAAAAACAATCCAAGTTTGTCCATCCAGGCAATATCCTGGTAAACCTCTATTTCTCTCTCTCCAAAGCCTCCACACCCTTCCAATAGTGTGGCGACCAGATCTACACAGGATACTCCAAATTTGGCCAATCTAAAGTTTTATACAGTTGTAACATGACTTGCCAACTTTTATACTTGATGGCAAACATGCTGTATGTTCCGTCCTCCACCTTGTCCACTTGTGTTGCCACTTACAGGGTGCTTTGGACTTGCACTCCAAGCTTATTCTACAGCAGTACTCCTAAGAGTCCTGCTAGTTACTATATATTTTCCTCTTGCATTTGGCGTTCCAAAATGCATCACCTCACACTTGTCCTGGTTAAACTCCATCTGCCAATTCTCTGCCCTGCTTAGCAACTGATGTTGAGGCTACCTCGTTGAAAGTTTTTAAGGCAAAGAGAAATTTTTGAACAATAAAGGAATTAAGGGTCATGGTGCGTTGGTGGCTAAGTGGAGCTGAGTCCACAAAAAGATCAGCCATGATCGTATTGAATGGCGGAGCAGTCTCGATGGGACAGATGGCATACTCCAGTTTCTGTTTATGTTCTTATATTCTTATATATCCTGCTGTATCCTTTGACAGCCATCCACATTATCCACAACTCCACCAATCTGCAAACTTACTAACTAGATCCCCTATATTTTCGTTCAGATTGTTTATTTAAATTACAAACAGCCGAGGTCCCTGCACTGATCCTTGCGGAACACGCTGACCATGGACCTCCAGACAGAAAAACACCCCGCCACAACTATTCTCTATCTTCTCTGTCCAATCTCTCATGGCAACTAACAACAACTGTAACTGAGATAACGAGGTGTAGAGCTGGATGAACACAGTAGGCCAAGCAGCATCATAGGAGCAGGAAAGCTGACGTTTCGGGTCTAGACCCTTCATCAGAAAAACAACTGTAACTTATGCCTCTGGACCAACCTATCATTGAAGGACTTTGTCAAATGCTTTTGTAAAGTCCATATAGACAGCATCTATTGCCATACCCTCATGAATAATCATTGTTACTTCCTCAAAAAAACTCAATCAAATTGATACAAGACCTTTCCAAGACAGGACAAGATCCTCCTTAATCCTACTTGCTAAGAATATATCATAGCTCCTTTTAGCCCTCCTAACTTCTTGTTAAAGTTCTTTCCTGCTTTCTTTATATTCCTCATGGGCATTGTTTGATTTCAGTTTCCATAACCTTACATATGCTTTTGTTTCCTTTTTGACTAATCTGTCACAAGCTCTTTCTCATCCAGGGTTCCTGAATGTTACCATCCTTAACTTTCATCCTTAGAAGAACATGCTAGTCCTGAACTCTGATACTGCCTTTTAAAAAGACTCCCGTATATAAGATGTGAATTTACTTTCAAACAACCGCTCCAATCTAATTTCTCCAATTCCTGCCTAATGTTATTGTAATTAGCCTTCACCACCAATTTAGCACTTTAACTTAAGGACCAGTCTTGTCCTTATTCACAACTATCTTAAAATGTATGGAATTGTGATTACTGTTCCCAAAAAGCTCCCCCACTGAAACTTTGATCACCTGGCCAGGGTCATTCTCCAATATAGGGTCTAGAATGGCCCCTTCCCGAGTTGGACTATCTAAATAATGTTACAGGAAACCTCCCTGGATACATCTTCTTTTTAAAAAAAAAAAATAAAAAAAAAAAATTCTGCCCCATCTAAGTCCCTAGCACTAAAAAAAATCCCAGACAATATTGGGGAAGTTGAAATCACCAACTACAATCCTGTGATTTTTAATGTTGTTCCTTCGGTGGCCACCAGGAAGATAGTTGTCTAGATGAAAGTGAGGATTGGGGGATAACGTAATAGCATGGACTGGATTAATAAATGGAAAACAGCATGTATAATGTAGTTTTCAAGCTATGGCTAGTGGTGCCTCAGCCACTATGATAACAACTTGGATAAATTACTTTTAGTCTCCAAGTTTTCTGACCATCCAAAGCTCTGAGACAGGAAGATGTGAGAAATATACAAGGTTGCAAAGAGATATGCATACATTAACTGTGCACATTAACTATTACTTTTACCTTTATTGGTCAGTATATTGAGTATAGGAGTTGAGAGCTCATATTGTACAGGACATTGGTTAGGCCACTTTTAGAATACTTTGTTCAATTCTGGTCACCCTGCTCTAGGAAAGATGTTGTGAAACCTAAAAGGGTTCGGAAAGATTTACAAGGATATTGCTGGGGTTGGAGGGTTTGAGCTTTAGGGAGAGACTGAATAGGCTGGAGTTATTTTCTCTAGAATGTCAAAGGCTGAGGAGTGACCTTGTAGAAGTTTATAAAATCATGAGGGGCATGGATAGGGTGAATGATCAGGTCTTTTGCGCAGGGTAGGGCGCATTGAGTTAGGGTGAGAGGGGAAATATTTAAAAGGGGCCTGACGGGCAACTTTTACATTCAGAGACTGGTGAGTGTATGGAATAAGCTGCTAGCAGAAATGGTGGAGGGTGGTACAATTATAACATTTAAAAGGCATCTGGATGGGTATATGAATAGGAAGGGTTTAGAGGGATACGGGACAAATGCTGGCAAATGGGACTAGATTAATTTACAATAACTGGTCAGCATGGACAAGTTGGACTGAAGTTGCTGCATATTTCTAACACTATAATTTGGGGAAATGTGATGTTATTTATTTTGAGGGAAGAATTAAAAAAAGAATATTTTTAAATGGTGAGGTTTTGGCCTTGTACAGGAAACACAGCATGCAGGTACAGAAAGTAACTAGACAGGCAGGTAGTGTGTCAACCTTTGTTGCAGAGAAGTTTTGATTATGTGAATTAAAAAAAATCTTGCCATATGTACCTTTGCTGAGACCATACTCTGCTATGTACAGTTCTGATGTTCTTATGTGAAGAATTGGTACTTGCAGCAAAAGTTCACTGGATTGATTTGAGATCAGAGAGTTCTCTTACAGTAAGTGCAGTAATGGGTCTTTTGTTTTTTGGTGTTTGAAGAATGAGAATTTATCCCATCAATATATGGGCTTGAAGGGGCTGATGGGTAGACACGGATTGTTTCCCTGGACAGTCTTAAATGAGGGGACATTATCTTAAATAAAAGATGACTCATTTAAGACTGACATTACAAGGAATTTCAGCAGTCAGTTGTGTACCTTTTGGAATCTTCTATCCCAGGTGACTGAACTTTTAGTTATTGTTGATATACAAAACTGAGAGATTGGATTTTGGACGCTTGGATATTCAAAGGTACTGGAAATCCAAGTGAAAAACTGAAGTCAAATGTCAGTTATAATTTTACTGATTGGAAAGGAAGCTTGAGAGGCCATTTGCCTACTTGTCTTGGGTTCTTAAATACTCAGTAAATCTTGTTTGGAGGCCTAATAGCAACTTGACTCCAAGGCCTGTTGCCTTACAATTATGGTTGAAGACATATTTCGGCATTAACCTGTTAGAAATTAAATAAAATAGCATGCTTAATGGATTAAGCATCTCAATGCATTTAATTTTCTTTCCCAATCCAAAACCATTAGTAAAAATCACAGAATTAGAAATTAAGTGTTTTGAAAATGGTGGAAGCATAAGTCCGTTAGTATGCAAAAGAGGATTAAACAGGTTCAAGGTTTAGATAAGGATATAAAATGTAGGAGCAGAAATATACCACGCTGCCCATTGAGTTTGCTCTGTCATTCAATGAAATCATGGAGGATCTGATAATCCTCAACTCTGCTTTCCTGCCTTTTAACTCCTCAATTCCATTGCTGATTTAAAAATCTGCTCATCTCATTTCTTTTAAAATATTGATCGACCTTCTGTCCTTTTTCTCAATTTTCTATTCTTTCAAGTTGACCATTTATTGAAAGTGTGTTGAGCAAAATAAAAATATATCTTCTATATTCCGGGAATACTGGCCTAAATAAAAATTACTGTGAGATCCTTAGAGTGTATAATGCAATATTTGACATCAATTGCCCAAAAAGCTTATTTTTATCCACAATTTACTAACAGTAATGTAATAGTGCGATTGTAAGGATATGCAACTTTGGAGTTTTGAAAGATCTTAATCTTTGGTATGTTGGGCCATTATGTCCTGAACTTAATTTTTCCATCAATTATTTATTTCTCTGTTAAATTTTATAGGGATGCAGCTGCTACAAGAGTGGATATTTACACTGGTAAGTTAAGGAGATGCTATTACTTTCTTTTATCTAAATTGTGAAATGACTGAAAAAGTGAAAATCCTGAAATTAGGAGTTGACTGTTGAAATGTAAGTCTACTCTCAGTAATATTCCCCAAGTCACAAGTTCAGATTTTTGTCATGCTGAGTTGAGGTACATAGAGACTGGGTATTTCTAAGAGGAAAGAAAAATTGGCTTACAGCTGTTCCTGGGCTGCTTTCCAAGACCTGAGAACAGGTTGTTGAAAACTGGCAAATGTATGAAAGCAGGTCTACTGCCCACGCAGTCAGGCAAGAAATTTCATGTTGATTTCTGCTTTGAGAAGCAGATGGATGATGGCTCTCAGAAGCACACTACGTACACACCAGTTTCATGTCTTGTCATTATCTGGGTCTTGGTTGCATAAATTCTGCACTTGAATGGATGAATATCACACCAAAAAACAATTATATATCCATGTACACAATGAGCTATATTAAGTTGTATATGTATAAAAGCACAAGTTAATGTCATCTGAGAACTGAATTATTCAGATATTTAAATTTGCATGAAGTCTGGTGGCATAATTCAGTTGAGCACTTTCTGGAGGAAGTGTGGGCAAGGACAAGACATTTAATTTAATGTCTCTGCAGCAATTTGTTATGCTCTCTGTTCATAAACAAGCCTTATGAGGTAAGACCATAAGACGTTGGAGCAGAGTTAGGCTATTGAGCCAATTGAATCTGCTCCTCCATTCAGTGAGATCACGGCAATCTTATAATCTCCCATTTCACTTCTGCCTTTTAGTCTCAATCCTCGATTCCCTTACTGATGATTTTTTTCTTTTAAAAACCTGTCTCATCCATGAATAGACTTAATGACTAAGCTTCAACAGTCCTCTGCAATAAAGAATTCATCAGATTTCCTACGCTCTGGGAGAAGAAATCCCTCCTTGTCTGTCTGAAACGTGTGAGCCCTTATTCTGAAATGATGTTTTCTGGACCTGGACTCTCCCACTTGGGGAAACCACCTCTTCATATCTACCCTAGATGGTGCCCTAAATAAAGGTTGCCTTTCATTCAACTATATTCCAAGAAATACAGGCCCAATCTACTCAACCTCCCCTCATTTGACAGTCCTTCCATACCTGATAACAACCAAAGTGAACCTTGTCTGTACTGCGCCCAATGCCAATATATCTTTACTTAGATAAGAGGACCAAAACTGTTCAGGTATTTCAGAATGACATTTGTGCCATGCAAGTGCGAGACAATAACCAGAAGAAAACTTAATCAAAATCTTGGGAGATTGTTGTGATTGCCACCACTGAATCTCCTACCATCAACTAATTGAGGATTGTCTTTGACCTGAAACTTAACTGGGCCAGTCATTATAAATACTCTGGCTACAGGGGAATGGGAATTTTGTAGCAAGTAACTCCCCAAAGCTTGTCCACCGTCTCCAAGCATCAGTCAGGAACTTAGTGGAATGTTCTTCATTTGCCTGGATAAATGCAGCAGCAACAATACTTGAAGCCACATACTATCCTGGCTGAAATCCACTTGAATAGCACTCCGTCTACCATCTTAAACATTCATTTCTGTCACCATATTGGCAACAGTGTGTATCATCTACAGGATGCACTGCAACATCAAAGCTCCTTTAACTGCACCTTCCAAACCCACAACCTCTACTAGAGGGATATAGGGCAGAAGGCATGTGAGAAAACAACCACTTGCACGTTCCCCTCCAAGTTGCAGAGTATTCTGACTTGCAACTATTTTGTCATTCCTTTGTGTGCTGGCTCAAAAACGTGGAACTCCTTCCTGACAGAACCATGAGTGTACCAGTTGGACCTTAGCAGTTGACTTTGCTTGTGATGCTGGCATCTCATGAACGCATTTTCAAAGTTCAAAAAGCGGTCATCATGTGTGGAACTTTCAATCTTTATTCTACTAGAGACTCAACATTTGCTGTCAAATTACTGTGTCTACCAATTCCATTATCTCATTTAGCCCTCATTTACTGCCCCCAGCATGCCTTCCCTTTATCCCATGCCTTTCTCTTTTGGTCTACCTCATTCCATAATGATAAGTTTTGTATCCATGACACAGATTTTGATTGAAGAAGGGATGTTCTGCATTGATTTCTGGTGGTTGAAGTTCACTGTATAAACTGCCTGTAACTTATCATTGATCACACTAAATTGATAACGTTGTTCAGAGATGTTGGTTATTCTGGGCAGATGTCACTGGTGCTTTTCTGAGGTGAAGCCCCTAAACCATATTGTTCCTGGTATAATGCTTCATGTTGGCACTTGGACAGAAGTATCTATGTATGGTTTACGTCCCCAGCTAAAATTCAATGCCTGTTTTTCAGTGCGGAATGTAGATTTGCGAGGAACGTTCATGCTGTGTTTTCTGGACGATGGAGCTGGGATGGATTGCAGTAAGTAAACATCATCCTGATGTGATACTTGAGGATAGGTACAGATCAGAAGTGTGATTCAAACAAAAATAAAATGTGAAATGGGATTTTTTTTTTGTTTGCAAAGCAACTTGATGAATAAATACGCTGGAAGGGTGTTAAGACACATTGTATCAAGCATATATGTTTACAGTTCTGCTGAGGGCCCAAGTTCTTGATCTCCACTTTGCTGCCAAGATGAATGAAGGTAGAGAATTGTTTCCATGAAAACAGGAAATGTAAGACAGTTTTTGGTTGCCTTTATCATTGCTAAAATGCTTGCAATCTGCTGTCCAGTCCTAAATCCGTGTTTTTCTTATCCTGGCTAATAACATGTTTGACTTTTCTTCCCATCTCTAAAAGCTGGTAGTGCCTTGATAGAATTGAATACGGGACCTTTTTTGGTATGGTTCCACCCCGTGGGAGTTTCCAATATTTTAGTCTGTAAACTCAGGAAAGGAGTAGTTTATTTCTTGCACAATGCAAGACCACAAATTGTTTTCATTCTTCTTGGATTAATTATAATGAAGATAGGAGTATTGAGTAGGGTTTCCAGAATTGATACTTAAAAAGCTGCTGGCAAAATAAATAAAGTTCAGAAAGTGTAAGGATTTCTTGCAGTATTTTTACAGCAATTATAAATTAGAATTTATATGATCAAGGAATTATTTTACTCTTTTATGTAAGCAATTAACAAAATTGGTCTTTGAAATTTTAGAGATTTAATTCATTGCTTCAGGTTGATAAAATAATATAACTGTGGGAACTACTGTAGACCTTTGGTCAGATCTCCATAATGCCTCATCTTTTCTGATACTTTGAGTAATGTGTTAGATATATTCTTACCTTGCATGCAAAGTTCTCTGTTGCTCAAAAAATTATTTATATATTTCAGCATCATTGTTGTCATTGCTGTTATGTTTAGTTCACTTAAAGTTTATGGGGCGAAGTTGCTCTCAAGTTACGCTTCAAATTATTGCCGCCTAAATGTACTTTAAGCTTTGTGCACAATCTCTCATCTAAGGTTGGAACATATTGAGCTCCCAAAGTTCATAGCTAAAGCTGAACAAAGTATTTTCCTTAATTACGGTAGTTTAGCAATGTGACATTGTTTGGCCTCCTGACTGGATGCAAGAGCAGTTTGGGCAAATTACATTTCTTAGTAAATTGCTCATCGCAATTCATCTTAATTGTCGGACCTCAAGTTTGAAAAACTGTATCATCAGTGTTTAACATGCAAGTTTTGGTTCAGCACAAATTTATTTTAAAAATAACCATCTAACCATGTGTGAGAGAAACAATGGTGACTGGCAAAAAGCTGGAATGAGAGGTGGTGTGCTGAGCAGAAAATAGAGAGTGGATGAGTATTTGTGCCTTTTTAATTAACTTTTGGTTTTGTGAGGTTTCTCCATTGTATCGAATTGTTTGATCTGCTGCCCTTTGAGCAGTTGGAAAGCTAAATTTAATATACTCCTTCGTTTTACATGGGGCTTCAAAACTAGAGACAATTACCTTGTATCAGGCAGTGTACCAGTAAACAAAAGTAGCTCCATATTGATGTCACTTGCCACTTCAGGGACTTGATGATCCCCAGTAGAATTCATAAAGTCATGGAAAGTGCTGGAAAACTTTGTGTGGAATTGCACATGCAAGCTTGATACAGGGGATTCCACTATAACACAATAGATGTGTTCTATGGGAGGACTGAGGCAGACCAACAAACAAAAAATCATTCAAAATGACTCAAAATCGCTCAAAAACTAACACAAAGGATAGCACAGTTTGAACGAATGTTTAATTCACATGCAATAATAAAATAACAGTAAGTTTATCACCTTATCTTGGGGGAAAAAAAAAATGTCAAGATGACTTGATGGGGAGGAGGTTCTGAGGCAGCTGTGATAATTGCAGGGGCTGAGGGTTGTCATCATGATCATCACGTTCAGGTGCAGTTTTGTTTGCAGGGTTAGGGCGAAAAATAGTTGCTGCAGAAGTGGATGGATGTGATTTGTTGTCTTCTGACTGTTTCTTGGGGACTGGCTTAAAAAAAGACATCCAGTTTTTGCTGCTTTGCCCTTTTTCTTCATTCATGAAGAGCAATTCATTTAGCCAAAGAAAATCTTTCTTCACAAACTGCTACCCTGCTGCGTTCCGCATTGTAATCCTTGCAACCGGTTCTCAATTTCCCTCAGGATAGAAGACAAAATAGAAATGGAAAGTTCTCGTGATGCTGCATCCTGGACTACTACATCTTCACCTCCAGCATCGACTTCCCCCTCAGCGACCAGTTATTGTAGATCAGCTGTAGAGAGATCTTCACAAATGGGACTCAAGCAGCTCTTCAACATGTTCACTCTCCACTTCTTCAAATCCAACTTGCTTCGCGGGATCAGCACAATGTTCTTTGATTCTTGAGGGCACCTCTGATGGATCAAAGCTTTTTAAATCTTAGAAAAATCTGGGAGAAGCTCCTGCCAAACTGCATGCAAGCAGTCCTTACTGACATCACCCCAAGACTCCACAATAATGTCAGTTGCATTCTTGATATTAAATCTCTTCTAAAATTGAGGAACACTGACCATATTCCCTCAGTGGCTGAAATCAACTTCTTAAATGTGCACCTTAAATAATAAGCTTTAAAAGCTGCTATTACACCCTGGTTCATGGATTGAAGGAGAGAGAGATTGTGTTTCTGGGTAGAAGTAGCAGTTTGATGTTTTCAGAAAGCTCACCAATGGTGGGAGGATGGGTTGGTACGTTATCCAGGATGAGGAGAATCTTGAAATCCACATTTTTTTCCCCTGCAATACTTCTAAAAACATCTTCCAAAACATCAACAGTCAGGTCAGGAAAACATTTGTCCTGTCATCCAACCTCTCTCGCTTGACCTAAAGTAGATGCCTAGAGGAGACTTGAGATAACCTTTCAAGGCTCACAGATTGGCAGATTGATGCACCACCATGTGTTAAGCTTTAAGTCTCCACTGGCATTGGCATCCAGCAGCATAGTCATACAATCCTTTGCCATCTTAAACCCTGGAGTGTGTACTTCATTTATAGAAACGTAGGTTCTTGATGGCATTCGCTTCCAGTATCAACCTGTCTTATCCAAATTGAAAATTTAATCTAAGTTGTAACCTTCTTTGTCAATTTTTTTTTTACTTTGGGAGGAAATGCTATTGCATGCTCCTCATCTGTGCTCGAAGCTTTGCCACATAACTTTACATTATAAAAAGCATTGTGGTTGTTAAAACCAGCCACTGCTAGCACCAAAGGCGGGCACATCTGCAGGATTTTCGGCTTGTTTTGTTAGATCTTCATAAATTGATACGGCCTTCTCTTTTATGGTGAGAAAGGTGGTCCAAGATCGCTTCTTTGTTTGCTGTTCTATCCACAGTTAGAAGCCACTCCATCTACTCAAGTTCCTTTGTCCGTGACCGCTCAGATTTGTTAGCACTCAGACTTGTTCCAGCACTACAGCTTGCTTTAATCTTTTCTGCATTCTCTAATGGTGCGTAAGGTAGACTCCTTCATTCCTGTTGCACAAGCATTAGCACATGTTCTCTCATTACACTCAAAACGCTTTGCAACATTTAGCTTCTCTTCCAGCGTTACAGCCTTTTGCATTGACCACCTGTAATTTTATCACCAGGATGCTGCTTGTTATCATTCTTTCCACTTTGCCTTCACATTTTGTGGATGACATGGCAGAATTGTACTTTACCTCTCATAGCACAAGGATCCTTGATGCCAGTGCAGGGACTCTTTTGGTACATGCTCAGGACAAAGGTCACGAGCTGATCATGTGATGTCAATGTTGGAATCATGTTAAAGCCAACACAATTTGCATTTTATAAATACTGTTGCCCATACGTCAATCGTGTTATAGACAATTCGCGTTGCTGGAGCATGCCTTATACGAGAACCCCCTGTACTGCATGGCTTACTGCAGTAAAGTTGTGTGTGGCTGTCCTTGGAAAATGTGTATATTAAATATAAAATCCAGTGCTGCAGTTCTACTCAAGTGTGTAAACCTTATTCTTGCCAACTAATGATACCTTTAATCTGCACGGTTATTGATATAGACCTGTCCAGATTCTTGTGCTGTTGAAATCTGTCATATTTGTTGCTTAGTCTTTGTTTTATTTGGCTCTTTCTAAATTGATGAAACTTTCTTCCTGACAGATGAGGCTGCCAGTGTCATCCAGTTTGGGAAATCTGCCAAAAGGACTCCAGAATCCACACAGATTGGACAATATGGCAATGGACTCAAGTCGTATGTTTTCAATTTTCATTGAATTCATAACATTTTTTTCCTTTATAAAGACATCTACCTCTTAGTGAATCAATCACTAGTTTGTTAACATAATGAATAATAATAACTGCAATATGAGTGATTGAATTTTTGTATTCTCATTGCCTTTTTGAAATTTGAGGAGCATGTTAATGGTGGGACAGTTAAAGGTTTCAAAGCAAAATTTCTCATGGCAGTCCTGCTTATTTGAAGATGTTGATCCTCTACTGTTGTAAAATTCTTTATCCATACACTTGGAACTTGCCAAACTTCAACAAAGTCACCACTATACAGAAAGGTGAAGGCAAAATGCTTCCATTGTGACAATACCCTTTTAATGTAGAAAACACTCCCAAGTTTTTATTAGTAGGTGTAGTGGAGTTAGAAGCAGGTTTTATTATTTAATATAGATGATGGACTTTAAGTGTTTATCCATGCAATGAAAAATTGGGATGAGTGATTAAAATCTTGGCTGAAGGGATTTTTTTTTAAATATGGAAAGGAATAGCTTGGAAATAATTAGGGAGTTCCAATGAGCAGGATCAAAGTAGTTTAGCATCCCCTTGTGCAGAAGGAGTGAGATTCAGAGCCAAAGGGTATGGAAGTGATAGAAGCCTGAAAGAAATTGCAACAAAAAATAAAGTAAGGCCAGGAAGAGATGTAGAGATGCAAAGATAGGAGTGGTGAATAAGTGTGGCTTAGTATACATAATTTAAGAGCATCTTGCTATCTTGCAATCTCTATTGCTTCCAAGGGCAAGAATAACAATGTTGTGAGAGCATTATCATGTCCAAATGCCAAACCATCTGACACCTTATTCATTAACAGAGCGTAGATATCGCTGGTTAGGACAACATCTATTGCTCTTGAGGAGGTGGTCATGAGCTGTCATCTTGACTTTTTGCAGTCTGAGGCCTAGGAAAGCCTGTAGTGCAATTAGGAAGGAATTCCAAGATATTTTGACAACAGAAAATGAAGAGTGCTAGGTTTCCTAGACAGGAAAGTGTGTGGCTAGAAGGAAAGCTTGCAGGTGATGATGTTCCTATATATTTTCTACCCTTGTCCTAATAAGTGGTGGGAACTGCTGGTTTGGAAGGTGCCGTCTAAGGAACATTGAGTTGTTGCAGTGCACCTTGTAGATGGTGCACAGTGCTGCCACTGTGTGTCACTGGTGAAAGGAGTGAGTGTTGAAGTTGTTGTACAAGGTGTCAGTTCCGCAGGCTACTTTGTTTTGGATGATGTCAAACTTCTTGAGCAGTATATAATCAGGCAAGCAGAGAGTATTCCATCACACTCCTGACTTTGTGCCTTATAATTAATGGGTAAGCTTTGAGGAGTCAGGATATGAGATGGGTGCTGCAAACTTCCCTGTCTCTGACTTGCTGTTGTGACCATAGTATTTAACCACAATATGTGGTTGGTTCAGTTAAGTTTCTGGTCATTGGTATTCCCCAGGATGTTTATAGTGAGGGATTGTTACGCCTTGGCACTACCCTGAGGAACATGTCTGAGAAGATTGATCTCCAACAAGGCAACTGCCTGTGTTTTTTACCCTAGGTATGTTTCCAACCAGCAGAGAGTTTTTCCCTGATTCCCACTAACTTCACTTTTGCCGTAGCTACTTGATGCCTCAAAGCTAAGGGTACCCCTCACTTCCCTTCTTGACTTCAGCCCTTTGGACCATGTTTGTGTTGCAGTATTATGGCTTTGAGGGGTGTATTTTATCCTTTTTTTTTTAATGAAGAGAGGTTGAAACGAAGGTGCTGAGAAGTCTGTTCCAAGCCAATAAAGTAAACGGCTTGTAAGGCCTTGAGGGTTTGCTTTTGAAAGTTGGAACAATAGAAGCAGCAAGAATGTGTGAAATCGGGCTCCCATGGATTCACGGTTTTAGTTTTAACTTTCAGTAGTTGATGGAGTTTGAAGTTGGCTGTGGAAACTGCTGCGTCTCCCTATTGCGGCAAAACGCTTGAGTTCTCTCTCATCTGCCAGAATTTACTCAATGTTCTTTCCTCCTGGACTAGAGAGAGGTTCCATGTGAGACCATCTATTTCACTGAATTTGCCTTTGCCAAGGATGTGTTTATGGGATGTTACTGTATTGGATCGTTGCTATTTAGTAGTTAAGGACTCTATTATTCCAATAAGTTCTCCAATAGAATTAAAATTTTACTAATTCTTCTTTTTGTTTGCATTTAACTGTAGAGTAAGAATAATCTGCGTATTGCTTAAAGCCGAGTATGCAACCAATTGAATTACATCTGGAACACAGCACCTTACACTTTCCTTTACGTGAGAAAACGTTAGGCCATCTCCTTGATATATTTGAAGGTGGTTTTAGTTTGGACTGGTCTGGTCCATAACATTTGAAACAAGGCTGAAATGAGGTTGAACTAAGTGAGTGAGGCAGAATCCAAACAGCGTGTAAGTGCGCAGGGTATTGTTAAGTAAATGCTGTTTGACAGCACTGTCACTGACACCTATCGTATTGTTCATGATTGAGAGTAGATTGGGGTGTGTAAATATATTTCCACAGCATGGTTGTTATTAGAATTCTTGAGCAATAACATTGATATGTAAGCACTCGGTATACAATATTTTGAGGGGGCTCACGGTTACCGCTGCCTCCAAGCAGCTCTGGTTTGTATGAGAGCTTAGGTCTTTCCTTGGGTTCGTGAATTCATGCATAACCTGGCCTCCATCCTGGCGCCCTTACATCTGCTGTTGAAAAAGGGTCAGCCTTGGAAGTGGTCTCAAAGCCAAGACATAGCCTTTAGGGAAATGAAGAAGCAGCTATCATTGTCTAAGTTATTGGCACACTATGATACCAAGCATACCTCCCTGTACAATATCGGGGTAGTGTTGGCTCGCAGATGGCCCAACGGAGAGGAATGTCCAATAGCGTATGCTTCCTAGACTTTGGCTGATGCAGAGCGCAAATGTGCCCAGATAGAGGAGGAGGATTTGGTGTGATAAATCTTCAGTGTGAGAAAGTTCCACCGATACCTTTACGGACATAAATTTGTAATAGTAACAGATGACAAACCCTTGCTCAGGCTACTGAGAAAGGACAAGGCCGTATCATCCATACCTTCAGGTCAAATCCGATGTTGAGTTCTTATTCAAAAGTGCGTACAATTACAAGTCGGACTACTGTCCATGAGGCCAAGTAGCAAATGCGGATGCATTGAGCCACCTCCTGCTGGCAGGTATGGCAGTGATGGTGATGCGTCTAGAAGAGTCTGGACACCTTGCCGGTCACAGCCGACAATATCAGAATGCAGATATAAAAAGATTTGATCCTGACAAAATTAAAACAGCTGGTGGTGATAGGGAAACAAAATGGCCATCACTACCAGAACTGAAACCTTTCTCTACCTGACAAAGATGTTGGTGAGAAGTTATGTCTGGTGGCCAGCATTGGATGAGGCATAGCCACATTGCTGGAACAGTGCTCAACCTCCCAATAAGGACAAAAGTTACAGTTAACAGCTTCCCCCACATTCATGGGAATGGCCAGGTAAACCCTGGACTTGGTTACACATTGATTATGCCAGCCCTTTCATGGCCTCAATGTTCTTAGTCATTGTGGACGCCCACTCCAAAGTAGTTGGACATGCATAGAATTTATTCATCAAACACGGGGACAACAGCAAAACTGCAAACATCTTTTGCAGTACACAGACTCTTGGAAGTGATGGTCACAGATAACGGGCCTTTGTTTCCCGCAGGGAATTGGAATATTTCCTAAAGTTGAATGGCATTCCGCATATAAGGGGGCAGCTCCATACCATCCATCCATCTAATGGTCTGGCAGAAAGAGCTGTCCAAACTTTGAAAGAAGGCTTAAGGAATCAGCCTACAGCTTCACTCAGTACCAAACTGTCTTGGTTCCTCCGTTGGGCCATCTGTGAGCCAACACTATCCCGATATTGTACAGGGAGGAATGCTTGGTATCATAGTGTGCCAACAACTTAGACGATGATAGCTGCTTCTTCATTTCCCTAAAGGCTATTCTTGGATTTTCAGACGATCCTTCATGCAGCTTTGGGGATAGCTCCAAATTTGGTCTTCATAAATCTGGAATTGGAGGGCACGGAAATGGCATCAGGAACACCATTGCTGGACACATGACTCGACACATGACTCCTCTAAGTGAGAGAGAGTTTAATTCAGGGGCTAAAGATTGGTGCCCAAACTGGGGAAATGGCCTTGGGATGGGTAAGGTGTGGTCAAAGTGAAATCAGGTCCTGTGACGTACAAAGTTTGGGTGGGTGAGGCCGTCCTGAGCAAGCACGTGGACTGCATGAAAGTTGCAAACAGAGCAGAAGCAAAAGGTACCCGGTCCCTCAGAACAGTGAGACGGGCTGTCGGAACCCGTGGATTCTCCCCATCTGTTTAGCATCGAAGAAACCTCAGAATTTGAGATGGGTACTACAGATGTTGCAGCCTTTAGTGCCTGAAGAAGAGGATGAATTTCTTCCAAGATGCTCTGGATGCAAGAGGCAGGCTACGGTCTGGTACGTGCTGCCTGTATCTGAGGTTTAGTTGGAGGAATCGGATGCAGTGCGATAACGCATCAGGAGAGGCTACAAGAAAAGGTACAGGCCTATGTTCCCAGACTTTGAGGGATGTAGTGATTTGTAACAAGGTCAGCCAGCTAGACCTCATAAAATCTTGGGGCTGTTAACCTGGTCCAATCAGGGAGACCTGGCTGACAGATATAAACAGGAGTGTCAGAGGTTTGGTTCACTCCGAGAGCTGGCTCTGAGGAAGACGGAACAGTGTCAAGTACTATGCACGTGTAAAAGGGTGACTTGGTGACGGGATATCAGCCTCTGTGGAGTTTTCATGGTTAACAATAAAAATTGGTCTACCAATGTTGTCCACTTGCCTCTAAACAAATGCTGAAAAAAATAGCCGATAATTAATTATGCTTTTCTCCGTTTGGCTGGGGCAGATGTTGGATAAGATATCATTGAGATTGTTAGAGTCTAAAGGCTATTATTTAAAATAATAACACTCTTAATAGTATTGGCTGTAATAGGGCCTGAGTTGAGCAGGAGACAGGTAATGTTATTTTCTTTCCCTTGTGGGACATGAATGGCGCTGTCTGGTCTAGCATTTATTAAGCATTCCTGGTTGCCCTTGAAAAGTTGGTAGTGATCTGCCTACTTGAACAGCTGCAGTCCATATTCTGTAGGTAGACTTGTCATGCTGTAAGGGAGGTAACTTCAGGATTTTGACCCAGTGAAAGTGAAGGAACAGCAGTATATTTCCAAGTTAGGATGCCCGGTGGCTTGGAGGGGAACTTGCAGGTAGTGGTGTTCCCATTATTGTGGTATAAAGGTACCATAGATTGTTTGGAAGAAATATAGGGCATTAGTCAGAATATGCAACTGGATTCATTGTGAAAGGATTTCTGTATTCACTAAATTTGAGTAAGTAATCAAAGTTGGATTACTGAGGAAGTAAGAATATTGTACAGGATGTTATTTTTATGCAACAAGAGTTAGTCAATGGTAAATGAACAGGACGGAATCCATTATTTAAAAAAATTCATTATCCCAAGATTAGACATAGGTCTGTGTGGCACAAAATTGATTGGCAGCTACAGTCATTAGTTACAAGAAGTGCTTTACTGCAATGGATTGAAGAAGAATAGTTAATAACTTTTGAAGTTGTTGCACATGTCAGGTGCTAATGTTGAGTCGAGCTTGAGACAGTTATAAAATTTAAATGTCTGGGCTTTTTCCTCTCTTCACTCTCTATCTAGTGGCTCAATGCGTATTGGCAAAGACTTTATTCTGTTTACGAAGAAAGAGGAGACTATGACCTGTGTTTTTCTTTCAAGAACATTTCATGAAGAGGAGGGGATTGATGAGGTTAGCTAACTTAAATTAAATTATTCCACAAATTTATTATGCTGATGTTATCCCCAACTATTCCCCCTTGTTAACTGACTCAGTAATTTTTCGTGAGTGAGACTAGATGGTACATCCTGAATAAATCTCACTTCTGTAACATGCACATCTATACGCTTGCTAGTTTGGTCAGTGTTGACTAATCAGGATTAGGTACAATTTACTTCTCCTGTCCCAAATCGTAGAGCTGGAGGCAGTTTTGATACCCCTATTTCCAGACAAGCTGAGATGAAATAATTCTGTTTGGACCAGCAATTGAGGCGAAAAGCTTCTGGTCAGTATGATACTGCCTTCAACGATAGAACAGCCTTCTTATTTATGGTTAATAACTTACATACGCAGGTCTGAGGTGTGGTAGTGTCTCAAATATGTCTGTACATGTGCTTCATTTTAATGATGTGTGTTTTCTTGGGTAAAAAGGTGATAGTTCCACTTCCAACATGGAATTCTAAAACCAGAGAGCCCATCACTGACAACCCTGAGAAATTTGCCATCGAAACAGAACTGATCTACAAGTATTCACCATTCAAGTCCGAGTCGGAGGTCATGGAGCAGTTTGATAAAATCAAAGAGGATAATGGTAAGGCAGACAACTGAAATTCCAATGCAAAAATACTTCTAATTCTTCAATGAACATAATGAAATATTCTTAGTGCTTTACAGTAGAATTGATAAACTCCAAAAAGGAAGAAGAGGCAAAGTTAGTGGTAGTGACCATAGAAGACAACAGAATTTAAATATTGTATGACAACTCTGCCACTAGCGTGCAGAGAATCAAGCAATTCACATTTGATTGGTAGTAGAAGGTATCGTGTTCAATTTAGCCTTCATTTATTCCTAATGCTTTTAAATTAAAAAAGGGTTGAGGAGTTTGAAATTGATAATACCAGCAAATGCGCAGTTGCTATAATGAATTAAAATAAGTAGAGTAGCACAGATTCCAGTTCTTGACTGCTGTTTAGAAATAATGCTGTGTTCTCATGTCAGAATGCAGGCTCACCTTTTAAGTGTTCCCTACTTGCAATTATCCTGAGATTTGCCACAAATTGAGAGCTGCAGATGGTGTAACCATGAACAGTAAATTCATTCCCAATCAACAGGTAAAATTTTAGCCATCACTATATGGATTGAATATGCTCCAAAACAAATATCAGTCAGTGACCTCTGGACCAATCTTGGAATTCTTTGAAGAAATAGTAATTGTCAGATAAAATGCAGTAAATAGGGATTTAACAAAAAAGTATCAAACAAGAGATGGTACAGACAAAATCAAACAGTCTTCAATGGAATGTGGGCATATGGAGAGATGCTTTTGGGGAGAAAGCAAAATATCAGAACTAAAGGAAGTCTCTTAGACAGCAGAGATATGATTAGTGTTCTGTGGAATCCAAATTGTGATAAATGATTTGGACTTGAGAATTGGGGAATCTTGATGACCTACAATCCCAATTTTGCGTTGGGCCAAATTTAAAAGAAGAATGTACATCTACAAGAGGATATAGGTAGAATGACACGATGGGAAAATCTGAAGTATGAACTGGGGGAGAAAAGAAATTGCAAAAATTTCAAGTAGAGAAATCTGGATTGTTAAGAGTGATAACAAAGCTAGGCAACATTTTAAAATGAAAGCAATGAAATGAAAGTTAGGGATGGCACGGTGGCTCAATGGTTAGCACTGCTGCCTCTCACCACCAGGGATCTGGGTTCGATTCCCTCCTCAGGCGACTGTCTGTCTGTCTGGAGTTTGCACGTTCTCCCCTTGTCTGCGTGGGTTTCCTCCAGGTGCTCCGGTTTCCTCCCATAGTCCAGAGATGTGCAGGCGAGGTGGATTGGCCATGCTAAATTGTCCATAGTGTTCAGGGATGTGTAGATTAGGTGGGTTATAGGAGGATGGGTCTGGGTAGGATGCTCCGAGGGTCGGTGTGGACTTGTTGGCCGAAGGGTCTGTTTCCACACTGTAGGGATCCTATGATTCAAATCACTAATTTTTTATCAAAAGATATCAGAAGCACCCAGAGCACGGTTAGTTTAAATCTAACTTACCTCAGGAATTCATGGCCTTTGTTTCCATGGAGAGGAGTCAGAGGGAAAAGCACCCAGAAAATGGTTAGTATAAATCTAACTTACCTTAGGGATTCGCGGCCTTGTTGCCAGGGAGCGGAGTCAGAGGGAGGAGCACATGGACTAACTGAAACCAAACTGAAAAAGTGACGTCTCAGGAGGGCTGTGGCCTGACTGGCTGGTAGGAAATCAGTCCTAACTTTGAAAAAAACTGCAAAACTAATAAATAATTAACTAACCAGGGATTAAGTAACTAACTAAATTAATTAACTAAGAGATAGCTGGTCACTTAACGTGCTGCAGCTGGTGGGATGTGGGAGCTGGCTGCAAGTGTTGGTTGCCGGAGAAATTTAGGCTCAGAATTGATGGGGTGGAGTCAGAGCTTCAGGCGCTGCAGCACATGGAGGGGTGGGGTTAAGGGAGGGGAGTTACCTGGACGTTCTGTTTCTGGAGGCAGTCACATCTCGTAAATTATGTACCACAGATTTGGTCACTTGCCAGGGACAGCAGGCTGTGACTGCAAGTGAGGTAGGTAGAGCAATCTTGCATTCAGGAACAGAGGAGTCTCGGCTCTTGACCTTGTCCAACAGGTATGAGGTACTTGCTCCCTGTGTGGATTAGGAACAGGGCTGTAGGGAGGGTGAGCCAGCTGACCATGGCACCGTAGCACAAGAGGCCATTCAAGATGGAGCAAAAAGGCAAGTAGTAGTTGGGGATTCTATATTTAGGGGAATAGGTAACATCTTTTGTAAGCAAGATAGAGTATCCTGCATGGTATGTTGCCTTCACAGTGTCAGGGTGAGGGACAACTCTGACTGGTTTGAAAGGATATTGGAGAAATTCAGTTGTTGCGGCCTACGTTGGAACAAATAACATTGGCAAGACCAGGAAAGTGGACCTGTTTAGGGATTATCAGGAACTAGGAACTAATCTTAAAGACCAGGCCCTCAAAGGTTATAATCCCCAGATTCCTGCCTGAGCCATGTGCAAATTGGTATAGGAATGCTAGAATAAGGGAAGTAAACATGTGGCTAAAGGAGTGGCATGGTAAAGAGAGGTTCTTTTTCATGGGGCACTGGCATCCGTATTGGTACAAGAAGGATCTGTACCGCTGGGATGGTCTCTACCTGAACTGAGCTGAGTCCAATGTTCTGGCGAAAAGGGTTAATTGGGAGGCCAACAGTTCTTTAAACTAGGAAGTCAGGGAGGAACGGAAGAGTAAAACTCCAAGAAGTATAATGACCAATGGGAAACAAAGCAACAGGTTAACATCTGTGGGGATGGGTTCAACTGGATGAAGAAGTAAGGAGAACTCGGGAGAGGCTACTAAAGTCTCCAGCACACGAAGTAGAACAGTGTGTTTGGAAAGGGTTAAGAATCAAACCTCAAGCATACTGGAGAAACAAATGATAATGAGAAGAGGGATGGTCAATACAGGACGGCGGGTGTTATATCTGAATGGAAGCAGTATACGAAATAAGCTAAATGAGCTTGTGGAGCAGATCGAAATTGGCAGGTTTGATGTGGTGGGCATCACTGAGATGTGGCTACAAAGGGATCAGGACTGGGAGCTAAATATCCAAGGATATCCATCCTATCAAAAAGGAAGGCAGGTGGGCAGAAGGAGTGGGGTTGCCTTATTAGTAAGAAATTAAATCAATAATAAGAAACAAAGTAGGGTCAGATGATGTAGAATCAGTGTGGGTAGAGTTGAGGAACCGCAAAGGTTAAAAAAAAAAACCATAGTGGGAGTTATGTACAGGACTCCAAATACTAGTCAGGATTTGGGGCACGAGATATACCAGGCAATAGAAAAGGTGTATAAGAAAGGCAAGGTTACAGTGATTATGAGAGGGGGTTTCAGTATGTAGGTGGACTGGGAAAATCAGATTGGTAGTGGATCGCAAGAAAGGGAGTTCGTAGAATGTCTATGGAATGGCTTTTTGGAGTAGCTTGTGGTGAAGCCCACTTGTGAACAGGCAGTTCCAGATTTAGTGTTGTGCAATGAGGCAAACTTGACAAGGGACCTTAAGGTGAATGAACCCTTAGGAGGAAGTGACCATAATATGATAGAATTTACTCTGCAATTTGAGAGGGAGAAGGTGGAAACAGATGTAACAGTATTACAGTTGAATAAAGGCAACTACAGAGGCATGAGAGAGGAGCTGACCAGAATTGACTGGGAGAGGAGTTTAGCAGGAAAGACAGTGGAACAGCAATGGCAGGAGTTTGAGATTAATTCAGGAGAAGCAGCAAAACTTCACCCCTAGGATAAAGAAGCATACTGAAACGAGGATGAGGCAATCATGGCTAACAAGAGAAGTCGGACAGCATAAAAGTGAAAGACAAAGCATATAATGCAGCAAAGGGGATTGGGAAACCTACAAAGACCAACAGAGGTCAACAAAAAAGAAGTAAGGAAGGAGAAGACTAAAAATGAGGGCAAGCTAGCCAGTAATATAAAAGAAGATTTCAAGTGTTTCTTTACATATGTAAAGGGAAAAAGAGGGCAAAAGTGCAATTGGGCAGCTGGAAAATGATGCTGGAGAAGTAGTAATTGCGAACAAAGAAATAGCCGAGGAACTGAATAAGTACTATGCGCCAGTCTTACAGTGGAAGACACGAGTAATATCCCAAAAATTCAAGAAAGTCAGGGGGCAGAGGTGAGTATGGTAGCCACCACCCAGGAGAAGGTGCTAAAAAAACTCAAATATTTCAAGGTGAAGAAATCACCTGGACCAGATGAACTACACCCCAGTGGTCTGAGGGCGATAACTAATGCGAAAAGATAGTGGAGCTGTTAGTGGTGATCTCGCAAGAATCACTGAAGTCAGGGAGGGTCCCAAAGGACTGGAAAATCATTAACGTAACCCTCCTCCGTTTAAGAAGGGAGTAAGGCAAAAGACAGGAAATTACAGGCCGATTAGCCTGACCTCAGTCGTTGGTAAGATTTTGGAGTCCATTGTGAAAGGTGAGATTTCTGAATACTTGGAAGTGCATGGTAAAACAGGGCAAAGTCAGCATGGTTTCAGCACGGGCAGGTCATGCCTGACACATCTGTTAGAATTTTTTGAGGAGATAATGAGTAGGTTAGACCAAGGAGAGCCAATGGATGTTAACTACCTGGGCTTCAAGAAGGCCTTTGACAAGGTGCCGCACAGGAGACTGCTGAGTAAAGTAAGAGCCCAGGGTGTTAGAGGCAAGGCACTAGTATGGATAGAAAATTGGCTATCTGTCAGAAAGAAAAGAGTAGGGATAAAAGGGTCCTTTTCAGGATGGCAGCCGTTGACTGGTGGTGTTACAAAAGGGCCAGTGTTGGGACCACAACTTCTCACTTTATCCATGAATGATCTACATGAAAGAACTGACGATATGTTGGTTAAGTTTGCAGATGATACAGAGATAGGTGGAGGGGCAGATGATACTGGGGAGGCTGAAGAAGGATTTAGGCAGGGTAGGAGAGTGGGCAAAGAAGTGGCAGATGGAAACTAGGTAGAAAATAGGAGGAAGAATAGAGAC